TTGTCAGTTCTTATCTGAGTTCTGGCATCCTTCCCAATGTGTGTATTTCTATATCTGTGGACGTCTTCAAGTCATCCTGCCTTGTCTCATTAGTTGTTCAGTGTGGTTTGCGTTGTTGTTTTTTCTATTTATAATTTATATGTATTTTGAGTTTGAATGGAAGTTCTCCCTTTTTGCAACTGTTTGTGGGGGAATTTTTTCTCCAGTCAATGATAATTGGAGCTTTGAAGCCAAGTTGAAGGAATTAAAGGGACTTCACCTGCTTTTGTGACTTTGTTGCTTTTTTATCCCACCCTGGGTCATCACATGGTCAGAACCTGCTGAATACCACCTCTGCTACAGTGATAGAGCACCCACAACTTCTGAAGGCAAGCAGTTCCACTGGTTAATTGTTTTCACTGTCAGAACATTTCTCCTCAGTTCTAGGTTGCTTCTCTCCTTGATTATATTCCATCCATTCTTTCATGTGTTGCCTTTTGACGCTTTGGAATATAGGTTGACCCCCTCTTCTTTGTGGCAGCCCCTCAAATATTGGAGCATTGCTATCATGTCATCCCTAGTCCTTCTTTTCACTAGACTAGACAGACCTAATTCCTGTAAATATTCTTCATATGTTTTAGCCTCCAGCCTTCTATAAGATTGCTTCTTGAAATCACCTCAGTGAAGATAATTTTGGACTCATTTTCTATTCAGATTGTATCCACAATATATATCAGACCATGGCACCATCTTGATTAAGAGTATAAACTGTGTCCAGTACTGGCATTTTAAATGGAATCTGTGATCCAACTTATTATATCCTTAAACTATAGATTTTTTAAAAAGTGAAAAAATGAGTATGAGTTGTGGCATGTATTTTTGAATATATTAAGGAAATGCCTAATTAAACAATAGAACCCATCTGAAAAATTTCCTGCGATAGCCTTTTATTATAATTCCATTTCTTGCTTGTATATTATGAATTATTTTAGTGGTTGCCAGTGAGATTCCTATCTATGTTTCAACCTTGGAAACACTAAGAAAAAATACAGTACATAATTAACTGCCATTTTGTTTTTGTAGCCCATAATGCATTATTTTAGGCAATAAGCATAAGATATAATGGGCACAGAATCTGAATGTAGGGAACAAAGAAATCAATTCTATCTTAAGGCTACAAATAAACCTTTCCAGTGTATGGTTTTATTTTCATCTATATATTTATTTTTACACGAAGGCTCTTGAATCATCACAAATGGTGATTTTCAAGGAGATGTATGAAGCAGAGTATATTATATTTGTTTTTGCTGCTATTGGCAGAAAGAAAAGTTGCATGCAGCCTTTTTTCCTCATTTCCTTCCGAGAGTCGGACAAAATATTAGATTGAATCACAGTTTAATCTCTACTAACCTCTTTGAGCTTCCCAAACCAAAGCTTGCAACATTAAATGGATAGTTACACATCTGAATTTTATGCCAGTAATGGTATAATAGAGCAAGACATAAAATATATTTATTAAATTTATTCATCACCTTTATAAGGTGGTCTTGAGTTTCTGTGGCAAATTTATACCAACGAGAAAAGAAATTAATGCACATTCATAAGAAATAAAAGTAGCACCTTTAAAAATACACAGCCTTTTAACTGCAACTCTGTTTCCCCATCTAATCCTTGGAAAATACCTAGGTTTTAAAGGCCCATTGGAAGTTTAATTTCAATGACTTTTGGCTACAAGAAATAATTTTTAAATTGTATTAAGTATGTTTGTGTTGTATCACCTTTTCCATGCTAGTAGTTAGGCAGGTATGCAGTCATTTTCCAGAATTCTTAGCAGAGGTCATGTGGGAGAAGTGAATTCTGGAAGTTTAGTGTCACATATCTAGAGTAATGTACTTGGGAGAAGATTAGCATATGTTAAAGTGTGGTGAGTGATCCTCTATAGCTCAGGTTGACAAATCTGTTGGGCCAAGGAGACTATTTGTAATGATGAAAATATGCCATGGTTACTTTCATAAAATAGCTGCCACTAAGTGGCTTAGACATGTCCAACATGCTGGTCATGGTAGATGTGAGCAGTCATAAAGCATTCATGCACCAAAAGGGAAACTGACACTCATCCTCTAAGGATGTTCCTTGTTATCACCCAGAATACATTTCATTTAATTTCATCTTAGCTTAGCTTACCTTTTCTTATTTTTTCTGGGCATCTGGATATACCTTCAACAAATACTAGTGTATCACCATCCTCTATTTTCTAACAATGCCTTCAATCAAATAACCTTACATGTCCAGCTTTGACTAAAGGCTGATTCATATGTCTTATTTGCCCAGCAAGAAGTTGGTCCACCAACCAATTCAGGAGAGAAATGCCATTATCAACAGTTAGCTTCCAACCCATTAGAAAGAATGTTTTCTGGATCCATAGCATAAATAGCAAACTCCCTAAACTTAACCCTAAAATGGAGTTGCTCCTAAAGTTAGGTATTCTGGTGCCCTCCAGATGTTTTGACTTCCACTCATCATCAGCTACAGTACAATGGTAAAATATGCAAAACATCTGGAAGGCATTAGGTTGTCTACCACTGTTCTATTCAATAGATTTCAAAATCTTTCAATAAATCTCTTTTGGATGGTTGGATTCTGTCAACAGAATGAAACAATTTATTAATAAAGACTTTTGTTGTTGTTGTTAGCGTAATGCTGTTTCACCCACAGACTTATTAATATTTTTAAACTAAATGTGTGTCCCCAAAACAGGGCTTCTTGGGTACATATATTTCATAACCATTCTGAGACATACTGAGATAATCTGTGCAAATAGTTATGGCAATTATATTATGACACCAGTAAATTCTTCCTATGAAAGGAACCAAAAAATGAGAAGATGAAGTCCTGGTATTTCTATTTAAGACTGTCTGACTCATCGGGTATGCGTGAATGCTATTTGATTGGTTTCAGAGATAGGTAGTCCCTGAAATGGGTAATTTCACCTCTTACCCAGAGCTGAAGCAAGTGAATTACTAAGAAGCATGCATAATTAGGCCATCTGTAGACATGTTCAGGAGACAGAGATTACCCATGCTTTGCCAGCTTCCAGATCATTACTAAAAGTCAGAGATGTCATTAGAATGAACAATTCCATTCTTTCTCTAAGTAATGAGAAACTGATAGGTGATGTAAAATACTCTGTTGGAAACCAGTTTAAGCAGGTAGGAAATATTTTCCTGTGTTTTGAATTAGGAATGGGTGAAACCATTAGCATGTTCTACTAGTCCTAGTTTAATGAAAAGGTCTTGGAGGAAACTTCTGCAATTCTCAATGTAATGTTCTTTAAAAGTTTAGGATTCTTAATCTCCCTTTTTTAATGTTTGAATTATCTCAGACAATTTGAAACAATTATGGATATTTTACACTGATATGATAAACAGCATGGAATGTTATTTCATAAATCATAATTTTTATTGGTGGTTATGTTTCTGAAAATTGCTAAAAATTGGAAGCTTTTTAGAGGGCTTATGGTAATTGAGATGGCACCTATGAATGACTGATGGCTTTATTATTATTGATTTTATTACATTTAGTATGGATGTTTTGTTATATTGCTGTTGGTTCAAAATGCTTGGTTCAATGTGGTAGATACAAACTGAATGAATGAATGACTGAATAAAATAAATAAAGAGGGTAAACAAAGGGTACATTCTAATTAAAGTAGTCAGTTGGAAGGAACAAATTTCAGCTAATGCAAGAGTTCATTGTTCTATTTTACATTTATACTCTTCCTTTGATATTTTGCCAAACATCTCCAAATAGATAAAACTTTCCAGATCTTATTCATCTACTTGGCAATACTTGCTCTCTTTACTCAGCTCCATAATTAAACATTAATTAATTAGCAGCAATTAGTATGCCAATATATAAATTCTCCACTGTTTTTTGTTTTTTTTTGCTGTGATACCATGGAGGAGTGAAACTGATATGTTGTTTTTCTGCCCAGTTATATAAAAAAAGGTTATTAATTAAGTTTCTTAGCAAGGTTGGAGTTTCATCTCCTTCTATGGTCCTATGGGAAAAATCACTTGTCTGGAACATTAGAACTTGAACACTTGCAGAGTTTGGCATCAAGATTTTAAAAGATCCAGACCATTATATATGGAGAATTTGGCCCTGGGTGAAGACTAAAGACATCCCCTTCTATTCCCATCAGATCTGGTCAACCTAGAGATTTAATATAACGTGTTTTGACTATTTCTGCATTTCCATGAATCACTTAAAAATGTTCTGAGCTTCTACATAGCCAACCCCACATTTCCATATTTCATTAGACATTTTAATACCCCAAACCTTGAGTCACCCAAATATATTTCTGAAATCAAAAGCATAAAACAAAGAATTCTTTTAGAAATGCCCCACTAAATATGGAATATTTAAATGAGGATTTGGCTTAACTTCATTTTAAAAGTACTTTTTCCAATTATACCTTGGTTTTACACCATTCTTTGAAACCTTCTTTGATGTTTCTTACTTTTTTGTTCTAACTGAACATGTTAAAAGCATCAAATTCCCATGTTGCTGTCATCCATGCCATAATGGAATTTACTTTGGTGCACCATACAATTTAAAATGAAAAGAAATATGTGCTAGATTTCTTTTATATCCTTAGCAGCTGATCTATAAATAAGTAGACAGTTTTCAAAACATTTGGAAAGTTGTATGTTTTCTTTTTCCTTTTCATTTTGTTGCTGAAAATAGCTGAATGTTTTGCATTAGCAGTATCAGTTATAAGTGGGCTAGAACAATGAATCATTCTTAGACCTAGTTATTTGTCATCCTGTTGCAGAGTGTACTGTATATGATGTGACATATAGCCCAAGAAACCTGTAAAAATATGACTACATTCTAAACTGCCACATTTAAGAAATAGAGAACAAGAAGAAAATAGGTGATGCAATAAGTTTTACTGTTCTTCAGGTTGCTAGGCTATGGCTGTTCTTTTCATCTCTCCTCTTCTCTCTTTCTCTCAGGTTTGTATCATTTCTCAGTATTGGAAGACATTGCTGTCGGCGAAGCAATAGGAAGGGTTAAAGCAAATGACCTGGACATTGGTGAGAATGCGAAGTCATCCTATGACATTATTGAAGGAGATGGAATGGATATCTTTGAGATCACCTCTGACTCTCAATCTCAGGAAGGCATTATTAGATTAAGAAAGGTAAATGGCATGGGAACTGGAAGAAATATGGGTTTGTGAACCCTGGCAATACACAAAGCAGCTCTTAAAGCAGAGGTGCACAATTTTGGGTGGGGACCAGAGAAGGTATGGATCAGCTCAATATATTTGATTTCCTAGCTATCATGGTTGATATCAAAAAGACTAAGCAGCAGGATATGACCTGTTTAATAGATTTCTTGGAAGATCACCAAGAAATTCAAGAACTGTAAACTGAGTTGAGAAGTCAAAAACACATCCCAAAAGAAAATAATGAAAAACCATTTCCACATTGTTGCCAATAGAACTACACGAATGTGTCATGTGTTGTTCCAAGAAGTTAGTAATATTGTTGAAGCCATCACCAAATCCAGTGGTTGTAAATTCCAGTATGCTATATCCTACTCTTTTTCTCAATGTCCATCCAACTAGTTTCACTGCTAGTCCTGATCTCACACAAATTAAGGGAGTGCCATTTTACAATAATCTATTAAATTCCCTAAAAAAAACACCTCTGAACAACAATATACTCTTTCCTAATATAGATTGTGTTCCATCGTCATTTTGTTTAGTTGGCATTTTTGGCATCTGTCTCCCCCCAAAAAAAAAAATTGGTGCAAAGTATTTTAATAGATGGAAAATCATCATTATCATAATTAGGAGGACAGTGATGCAAGTGGTTGGAATGCTGGGCAGGAGTTTAGCAAGCCCATTTTGGAGACCCAAGAGCTGCCACTCAAGCTCCTGCCAGGGACAAGGGGACATCAACTGGGTGTCCCCAGGGCAATGGTGATGTCATTGGCTAAACTGTCTCGGTGCTTCTGACATATTTAAGTAGACCACAACCTACTTCTTAGTAAGCTAGAAAAAAGTGGAATAGATAGCACCACCACTAGATGGACTCGCAACTGGCTGACAAACCATACTCAGTGAGTAGTCCTTAATGGGTCTAAGTATACATAGAGGGAAGTAAGCAGTAGGGTGCCACAAGGTTCCGTCTTAGGCCCAGTACTCTTTAATATCTTCATTAACTACTTCAATGAGAGAAGGGGAATTTACCAAATTTGCAGATGATACTAAGCTGGCAGGAATAGCTAACACCCAAGAAGATAGGCTCAAGATCCAGATGGATCTTGATAGACTAGAACAGTGGGCCATATCTGACAAAATTAAATTCAATGTAGAGAAAAGAAAAGTCCTACACTTAGGCAAGAAAAAACAAAAGTACACATACAGACCGGGTGAAACCAGGCTCAATGGCAGTTACTGTGAGAGGGATCTTGGAGTTTTAGTGGACAACCAGCTAAATAGGAGCCAGCAGTGTGTAGCAGCAGCCAAAAAAGCTAATGCGATCCTAAGTTGCATTAACAGAGGGATACAATCAAGATCAAGTGAGGTATTAATACCACTCTATAAAGCCTTAGTAAGACCACATCTAGAGTACTGCATCCAGTTTTGTTCACCACATTATAAAAAAGATGTTGAGACTCTAGAAAAAGAGAAGAGCAACCAGGATGATGAGTGGACTGGAGACTAAAACTTAGGAAAAATGGTTACAGGAACTGGGCTTGGCTAATCTAGTGAAGAGGACCAGGGGAGACATGATAGCAGTCTTCCAATATTTGAGGGGCTGCCACAGAGAGGAAGGATTCAAGCTATTTTCTAAAGCACCAAAGGCCAGACAAGGAATAATGGATGGAAACTGAACAAGGAGAGATTTAGCCTGGAAATAAGGAGAAACTTTCTGTCAGTGAGAACTATCAACCAATGGAACAGCTTGCCCTCGGAAGTTGTGAGAGTGCCATCACTTGAGACCTTCAAGAAGAGATTGGACTGCCATTTGTCAGAAATGGTGTAGGGTCTCCTGCTTGTGTGGGGGGTTGGACTAGATGACCTATAAGGTCCCTTCCAACTCTGATTATCTGTTATCTGTTACCTGTTTATCTGACACGAGTGCAAAATAATCACTGTGATTTCTCCTCTTCCATGCAGAGGAGCAGTGGGTTACCAGATAGTGGCTCCTACCAATATCACTGTTGAACTTTCATTTTGAAGTGGGAAACAGATAGAGGCCATAAGATAAACCTAAGATATAATTAATGTTTTGAAACTCCATTTGAACAATGTGATTCAGCTCAAATATCATATCAAAAGATATTTTCCACAGCCATGAAATGTTGCTTTCTCTCCTTTATATCAGAAGCTACTACTTGCTTCTTATATAGATTCAGGAAAAGTGATTATTCTAGAGATGTTAAGTTTCCACTGTGTTCAGCACTCTTTAGTAGACCTTGGTTGCAATCAAGCACATAGTTTTCACGTAACACACACCATAATAGATGCATATCTGTTATTGTTTTTAATTTCAAATATACTGTATATAATAACAACTTTGTGCATTTGGAGCACTAAGCTGACAAACGCTTTGGACTCGTATGATTTATTGCGGCTGAATTTGCAGCAGTTCAAATGATACCGTTGTGTGATTGGCAAATTGTGTATATGCTGATTTCCAGCAACCTATTCATCGGTACAAAGGCATAGTAATTTCTGAGTTGGCAGAGAAGCAAGTGCTTGCCGTGTTTACTAAAAATGGCAAAGTTACATTAGAACTAGATTCAAAAACTCTGCTGATTTTTTTAAAAAAGATATGAAAATATGAATATATACTTAAGCTTTCCGAGACTCTCTGAAAGAGTTCTGGAATTTTTATTTGTGCTCTTTGTATTTGCATTGCAGATTTAAACTTCTCTAGGTTTCTTTCCTCCTTTTTGTTCCATTCTATGGGACATTGTGATGCAAATTTATATATCTTTCTAAAGCTTGACAAATTTGTACATTTGAAATGTTAATCATTGTGAGGCATCAAAGGGTTGGGTTGTGAATCCGTACATGTCAGTGTTCTTGAAGTTGCAGTAGATATTAATCTTGGGTGGTCATAAAATTTGTGATGCCTCTTTTTTTTTTTAAAAAAAAAGTCATGTAACTCTTATTATTATTTCTTATCTGCATGTTTCAAATATTTATGAGCAAAACCAATCAGAAGTGCTTCTCTCCAAGGCCTATTGAAATGATTGGCAAATTGCGAACATGAATATCCAATCACTCTCGCTCTACAGAGAAGCTGTAAAGTCGAGGGTTTTTGTTTTCTTTTTCTTTTGGCACTCCTGATACAAAGATCATTTTGCATATAGCATGTACAATTGACTTAATTGCACATCAGCTTCTATGTACAGCCATTGTATGAGGGCTGACTCTCTTGTCTCGTAATACTGTCTCTTGGAATCCTTGTGCACAAAATAATAATAAAACCCATTGGCATTGACAAAATCACCATCCGTCAATTGGAAAAGGCAACTTTATTTAGAGCAGCTTATATCCTGCAACAATAACTTTAGCCTCATCCAACAACATCTGCCTACTCCAGATCCTTAGGAAGTTGATAGATAGATGAGAATGCTAAACCCAATCTAAACATCTGGCTGATTTTGTGACCAAGAATAATAGTAAAGAGTAGAGACCTGTAGTCTAGTGTTTTGGGAGAAAATGTTGAAAAGGCAGGTTATGGGTCACGGGCAGGTTACTAACTAACTAGCTTACTAATATAATCATAATTATTCAGATCTTCAGTGCACTTATGCACTTAACAACTTTTTCTGTTCAAGGTACCTCTCTAAAACCTGTGATTGTAATGAGAAGAAAGCTTAAACCTCCATGAAAACAAAGATCACGTTGATTAAATCTCTAAAACTGTGCTCCACCAGTTTCTCAATGATTAAAAATTATATTCACCTTCTTAATTCTATGAGCTTCAGTTTAACAGCCACAGAATTTCCTTGCAAGTTGTGCTGTCAATGACCAACTCTAAGGTCTCATAAAACCAATAGTGGGGTCTCTTTAAGCCAGGAGAAAATAACATGTGCCATGTTTAAATGGGGACTTTAAATGTAATTTTTAAAGTCACTTATGCCATGAAGACAAATTTGTTTTCTTTCTTTTTTTTCTCAGAGGTTTGTTGTTGTTTTGACTCATAGGGATTATAGGCAGAGGTCTTTCCCATTATATATACTATTATGTTCTTGCCATTTTTGAATTGGAATTAGTATGATTTGCATCTGAATGTAGTTGGCCTGTCAGACATAAATGCTTCAATTTTTGCTAATATTGTGTTAAATCTCAAGCACAGCTAAACATATGTTGCACACCTTGAAAACTTTTCCATACCTCCAATGCTGCTTTGTTTAACTGTACCAGAAAGTTAAGCTTCAAGAGTGATATTGTAAAGATCTCTTGATGGTTATGATACACAACTATTCTTATAAACTTCAGTGAAATGGATACCACAATGTTCCCCTTCCCATATAACTAGATCTCAATTGTCCTGACTTGTTTGATCTCAATCAAAGAACAATACCTTCAGTCTGGTTTCCCCCCTACACACGCACACATTTCTGCAAACAATAGAATTCTTCTGCCACATGAAATTTGCTAATTTCTCTCTCTTTGCTCCTTAACTACAGTGAATAGAATGACAATTAGTGGAGTTATTAATATGCAATGTAGGTCATTAGCAGAAAAAAAAGATCTTTCTATAGCAAAAGAAAAAGAAAAAAGGGAAAAAAAGAAAAAAAAAATCCAAGTGAGAAATCTTTATATGTGTTGTTATTTTAAAAAAGTATAAATAAATGGAGACAGCAAATCTCCAGTTTGGTGGGGTTTTACTAAGGCTTACCAAATAAATGAGACATTAATAAACACTCATGAAATTTGCAGTCACAAGAAAAGAAAGGGAAAAGGGATTACATTAATGTCAAGAAATGGAGGAGAAGCAGATGTATCAGCACTATATTGTCTTGTTCTTGCTGTTGTGACTATCTAGAAAAAGCTTTTGTGTTTGTCATCATTAACAGCCCTTGGATTTTGAGACCAAAAATTCATATACTCTGAAGATAGAAGCAAGTAATGTCTATATTGATCCACGTTTCATCAGCATGGGACCCTTCAAAGATACGGCAACATTAAAAATTGTAGTGGAAGATGCTGACGAACCCCCTGTCTTTTCATCACCAACTTATCTGCTGGAAGTGCACGAAAATGCGGCTATTAACTCCGTGATTGGTCAGGTGACCGCCCACGATCCAGACGGATCTTCAAGCTCTATAAGGTACTCCTGCTTTAAAACAATTCTTCCTGCTAAACAATAGTCATAGCACTTAGAGTTGTATACCACTTTACAGTGCTTTTACAGCCCTCTCTAAGTGGTTTACAGAGTCAACCTATTGCCCCCAACAATTTGGTTCCTCATTTGATCCACTTTGGAAGGATGGATGGCTGAGTTAACCTTGAACTGGTCAGGATTGAACTTCTGGCAGTGGGCAGAGTTACCCTGCAACATTACATTCTAATCACTGCATGTGATGGATGGATGGGTGGGTGGGAGGAAGGGAGGAAGGAAGGTAATAGCAACAGCACTTAGACTTTATATACCACTCCATACTGCTTTACAGCCCTCTCGAAGCAGTGTACAGAGTCAGCCTATTGCTTCTAACAATCCGGGTCCTCATTTTACCCACCTAAGAAGGATGGAAGGCTGAGTCAACCTTGAGCCTGATGAGATTTGAACTGCCAAATTGCAGGCAGCCGGCAGTCAACAGAAGTAGCCTGCAGTACTGCACTCTAACCACTGTGCCACCTCAAAGGGCTGAATAGTGCATGATACCTGAGATACCATCTCTAATATCCAGTTGTGTCTGACTTTTTATCCCCTGTGGAGAACTTAGGAATTAAATTTAGTCAGATCATTTTTCCTCCTAAGAAAAGTCTACTCAGTCCACTGTTTTCAAGATTTTCAAATAAGAGGATTTTTTCTTTGTTTGTCTCACCTAGAAATACCGGTTCTTCAATTATTTCTGCATACTACACCACTTTGTTTAACTGTAGCAGACAGTTAAGCTTCAATGCAGCTACTGTAAAAATCTCTCAGTGTTGTGTTCATACATTTTCTAATAAACTTAAGTTAATGGATCATCCAGTGTTCCTCTTCCCATGTGACTAGATCTAAACTATTCCAATGTCTTTAATTTTGCAATAAGTGCAGCATTACAGAATTCTGTTGAGTGGCCTTATTATACCCATGCTTCATTGGTGTCTAATATCTTTCCAGGTCCAGAGAGAGATGATTTTACATTTCTGGGTATTGTTTTAAAAAAAGTGATCCTAAAACTGATTTTTTTGGGGGGGCGGGGGTGTTAACAAAAATGAAGTGTTCAGCATTTTCATTTTTTTTCTGGATTCAATTCTGGATTTATATTGATTAGAATTATTCTATTTCATCTGATGGACAACCACTATACAGTCTCTGATCATGGTTATTCTGAATGCCATGGAAGAACAAATAAGGAAGGCAGAAACAGAAGACAAAGTAATTCCTGGAAAAAAAAAATATGTTTGTGGTGGGGAGGGTGATTTCCTTAACATCAAACCAATGGGTTCCTTTAAATTGAGCCAACTGAACAAGTGAAGTCAACTAATAGCCAATGAATGAATAAATAAATATTCTTGAAGAGTGTCTATTTCTCACAGTATCCTCTCTGTTATGTCTGACTTTTTTTGGGTGGGGGAGATGGTGAGAGAGTGGAAGAATATATAAGAGCCCAATATTTTGCAAGCTTCAAATGATATGGTCTTCAAAAATTTGTCCTGGAATAAAAGGAAAGATGAATAATATACAAAAATAATAATTAGGATCCCTGAGCCAAGCATGAAAGACAAGGTCTACACCTAAAAATCCAATTTAATTGATGTATTGATTTATTGCTACTTGTGTTTATGCAGGGATCTTCTCAACTAAGAATTAGTACCTCTCCTTGAGTTCAATGGGATTCAAGGGTGGCTGGGCTTAGTCTATTTGTGGCTACATAGAGATTCTAGGCTGGTCTGTCTTTTAACTCCAATCCCAGGTTCTTCCACAGCCTTTCCTACACCCAGCTTCTTTTGGACCACTGAGCATGCTGTAAAACTTCAGAACAAACAATAAAAAAACTGCCATAAAAGATGTCTGCCAGAATTAAGATGTTCCATATTTTGTAGCATCCTTGGATACCCATTGTTAGTATTTTTATTCTCCTGCTCACCCTCCACCAACCAGCTAGTGGGCATGTTTACAAATAAAATAGAAATGTATAGTGCTACAGTCTTTATTTTCCAACTGTACTATTGTTAGTAATCCATTTGTTTCTTTTTTCCATGAGAGAGGTTGACTTTTTTATTAGAAATAATTTAAATGATATCTGGTAGGTCTTTTATTGTATTGTTCTTTTGGTCATACTGTGAACTGCCAAGAAATTTCTGATTGCAAGAAATAATAAGTCTAACAAAACAAATACACCCAAGGGTATGCTTTGATATAAAAATGATACTGGAGGTTGGTGTTTTGCTTTGCAGCATGCTAGCTTAAATGTTAAATATAATTAAAAGAGTGTGTGTGTGTGTGTGTGTGTGTGTGTGTGTGTAGTTTAATGTCCATGGGCACCGTATTGAAGATCCACCTTCTCCATTTTTCTCACTTCCTCTTCCTCCTTATCCAAAAAACTATATATAATGGCTATCAAGTGCATCTGATCCAAGATCATTTTCTGGCTTAAGAAAATATATGCCACAGATTGAATTTGCTAGTCTTCAAGGTGCTTTTTCTTTTCCTTTAAAAAAAAAAAATCTACATAAACATTCAGGCTGATCAGAAAATGTCGTGAGGAAAAGTTCTTAAATCCATCACCTTTAGGCACTTCTTCATTTTTAATTGCTTTGGAAATGTTACTTTGCCTCATGAGTGCAGGCCTACAACAAATTCTTTGAAGCCGCCATCTGTGCAATAGGATTATGCAGGGCTGGTGGTTTATCAGATAAGAAAATTCAAGTTATTAAGTCACAAGAGGAAAAAATTGGAGGCAGACATTCCTGACTGGTTATTGAAAGTATATATCTTTCCGTGCCAATAACCCTATTTAAGCCTTGTGAGCATTTCCTGCCCCATAAAATCCACCATGTATGATGGCATTTCATGTGTTTTAATTAAATATACAAAACTGACATGTGTGTCTCCCTTTTCTCATCTGGATTCTGTCTGATATGCATACTGATTCAGCCTTTCTAATGTTTATGATGCTTACAGCCTGCATTTCTTTAGGTTATTTTTATGTCTGTTTGCTGATCTGTGGTTTCTGAGCAAGTCAATGTTTTAATTTCAGTTCTGTCAGGCAAAAAAAAAAAAAAATTGGGAGCCAGGGTTGGTTCCAAAATGAATACAAGTTTATTTCAAACTATCTGTAAACAAGAATCTGAACTACGAACAGTCCAGGTAAATTGTTGGTAGAATTCCTACTAGAATTCAAATGAGGTTGAATTTAGCTTTCTTGTGGATGCAAAGTGACTCTGCCTGGTCATCTGCTACAAATTCATTTTAATTAATAGATTCCTTAAAGCAGTGAGATCCTTTCCCACCTCAGGCTGACATGAAACCCTAAGAAAAGTCAGGATCTCCTTAGGGATGAGAGAGATTGTGCTTGTGCAAGATCCAAAACACATGTTCCAAATATTTTTTGAAGCATACACAGTCCTATTATAGACTCCTATATTGTTAAGTAGAGCAGAATCTTATGGTTGTTTACTTTTAGTGCAGACTTTAGCATTCCATATATTTCAGGATAAATAAAAGGAAATTGTTTTCAGATATGGTATTGTTTTCTTTGGATACAAATAATATATTTCCTGGGTAATTTAACTGTTCTGTAGCCCTCATTAATGTTGCTAAATCATCATCAATGACTCTTCATGACTTTCAGAGTACAGTACTATCTAGGGACGTGACGAGAGGTAGTTAGCACAACTGGATGAGTGAGCTAAAGAACTGTGATCAGAAGAGTGAATGGGAAGGGAAACAGATTGTACAAAAATCAATATCTGTATGCAACTTTCTTTCTAAAGATATTTTACTTGAAGCATATCATAATATGTAGTTATGTAAATCTGCCTATTGTAAGTCATCTAGACATGTGATTTGTCCCCTTTTTCTCCCTTTCTTAGCAAAATATGTTGAAATAAATTAGAAATAGTTGTCATAGATGGTTGAAAGACACATGTTTCAGATTCAATAATTGATTTACTGAGAACTTTGTATTGTTCATTTAATTTTATAAATTGAACCATGGCTAGATATTTTTTCCATCTGATCCTAGTTCAGTATGCTTATTATAGAATTTAAAATAATATTTAACAAATTGATTTATTACCTTCTCCATTGTTGAAACACATCTGTTGCCATCCTCAATAGAAATAAGAATGATGATGATCTAAATCTATCCAGAATCAATTATCACTGAGTAATTATTAGCAGATCAAAGGAAGTTCATTACCAGAAATAAATTATTCAGGGATGCACAATTGGAAGAGATTCAGGAAAAAAATATATGTGAAAATGGAAGTTCCAAAACAATAGTAGAAGAGTTGAAGGAACAACAATTATAAAAATGGAGAAAACAGCTGATAAGAATTACATAAAAGATAGAAGAAGTAATAACAACAGAATCAGTAAAGGCCAGCAATGAAGTAAACTATAAACTCACCTCCAGACAAGAAAATTAAAAAAGAAAAATTTGTTAGGTGCAGAACTACCAAAAGAAAGACTTCCTGCACTGAAAGTAGTGTCCAAAAACAACCCGGCATTTATAATGGATGTTAATAAGATGCTTGCAAGAATTATCATCTATTGAACAGGCTAATCAGCTTGCCTACAATACAACAAAAATGGGAATTGAAATTCAAAAACTAAAAACAAAATTATATTCAGTCCCAAAGTGGAAAATTAGACTGGAGACAAAGGTAAAGAAATTAAGGTCAGATGCGAGTAATTTAAAGAATATATATAAACTGGGGAAAATATATATAGACTGTGCGCTCAACACAAGTCTAATTAAAACTAAATATTGGCTCAGCATCAGAAAAGTTGAAGAAGCTTTGGAAATCATAAAACAATGAATAACAGCAATAACTTGGAAAATTGAATGCTGTGAGGCACAAATCATCCAACTGAACTAAAACCAGCTATTTCAGTGAAACCAGAGGCAATTGTACCAACGTATTTGGTTCATTGCCACATAGTTGGATCAT